CACAAACTAGTCACACCGATCACTTCAGCTGCCAATCCAGCCAGCAGGAAGTCTCACGTGCAAAATCACTCAACTGCCCCAGCTTTCCATGTGCCACAATCGGCCCCAAGCCTACACACAGGTGAGGGGTTATACAGCCCGATCTCACCTGCCCCGAATGGGTCCTCCCGGTCTCAGAGAATCAGCTACACATCCCTGGTGAATTTATACTTTAGATCTTACCCACAAAAGCATGCTGGGACCACAAGATCAGCTGGCCTGGGCCAGGCATGGCCTTTTCTTGCTCTGTTTAGATATCCAAAGTGATTTCAGGGCTTATTGCCAAGGAGGTTTGAGTGAGACTGGCACTCCTAAGTCAGTCAGACATTGTGGAAGCCAGCTCTTGTTCACACGGGGGTTTTCCATATTTCCCAAAAAGGTTTCCGATTGTCATGGTGGAGCAGAGTCCAGGGTAGTCCAAAAAGCCGGCTAGACCATCAGGCTCAATGAGGAGTATCAATGGTTCAATGTGTTGTTGGCAGCTGATATCAAGCGGATGTTCCAGGGGTTGGACCTGGGGCCGGTTTTGTTCAACAACTTCGTTCATGGTCTTCATGAGAGGGTGGTTTGCTGAGCTGTGGAGAGAGTTTGATACACTGGAGGAGAGGGAGACTTTATAGCAATTGGAGGATTCGACAAGAAGAAATCTGATGAGGTTCCATGAGGACAAGTGCAGAGTCTTACACTGAATACGGATTAATCCAGCGCATGGCTGCAGTCAACGGACCGACTGAGTAGGCAGCGATTTGTCCGAAAAGGATCTGGGGATTACTGTGGATGTGAAGCTGGATATGAGTCAACAGGGTGCCCTTGTAGCCAAGAAAACAACTGACATATTGGGCTGCATTAAGTGTAGCATTGCCAGCAGATCTTAGAAAATGCTTATGCCCCTCTATTTGGCACTGGTGGGGCCACAGCTGGAGTATTGTGTCCGGTTTTGGGTCCCCCATTACAGAGAGGAAATGGTCAAACTGGAAAGAATCCAGCAGGGAGCAAAAAAAACTGGTGAGAGGGCTGGAGCATTTGATGTACGAGGAGAGGCCGAGGGAATAGGGATAATTCAGACTGCAGAAGAGAAAAATGAGAGGAGATGAGATAGCAGCCTTCACCCTCTCTGAAAGGGGGGAGGGTGTCTGGCAGAGCTCACAGAAGACACCTTGGGATGCTGGCCACTATCCTGATCTTGTTCTAGGTGCCTTCCTGCCTGTTTTATGCCCCCCACCCATCATCCTGTCCTGAAAGGCCCAGTCTTCTTGTCTCCCTGACACAAGGCCCTGGGTTGGGGATACCATCACTTTCACTTGGTGGAGCAAACAGACACTGGACCACTTTAGCACAGGGAGGACAACACCTGGAAATCAACCCCCAGAAGTGATCAAAAACTCAGATAAATCCACCTTTCTCTGTGTACAAATGTACCCAGTCCAGAGTCACCCGTTTATTCTCTTTCACAATGAAACAGAGAGAGATGCACAGTGGTTGCCCCCCCAAGGCAGTTTCAAAGCCAGCTAAAGATCTAGGGCTGATGGCTTCTCATTCATTAAATAGACTTGACCCCAGTGTGGGAATCTTTTGTTTGCCTGACTTTTCCCATGGAAATTCACCAGCTCCAAATGGATTTCAGGAACTGGTAGTCTGGTCATCTGACTTAGTGAGACCAAGCAGTGCTGCAAGACATTCTTTTGTTTTCAGTTACAGACTAACATGGCTAGCCCTCTGAAACATTTCAACCCGGGGCTCTTATTCAGAGGAGTTTGTTGAAAGATTTGGTCTTCTGTCCCCCAACGTGTGGTGTGTAGCAGTCACCACAGAATGGACATAGCAATGCCTTACGGTGTATGTCTAGACTACATGGCTCCGTGACAGAACCATGTAAACTAGTTTACCCCGGCATAGGCAAAGAAGAGGGGATTTAAATAATCCCCCGCTTCCTTAAAATAATCATGGCCGCCGCACTGTGCTGACGATCAGCTGATCCGGCACAGCGCGGTATTCTAAACGGGGATCAGTCGGCTGGGGAAGCCTTTACTGACCGATCCTGTAAGCCTTGTGTCACCAAACTGCAGTTTCCATACCCTTGGAGGATTTCGCCAGGAAGATGTTTCCAATGGAAATGCACCTCCTTCCCTGTGCTGGGCATTCTGCACCTCTTCCCTCCTGTCCAGTATCAGCATAACTATTCGAACTTGCAGCCTCCTGGGGTTTTCTGCTGTCCTGTCTCACAGAGGCGGTGTTGGGTTTGTCAGGAGCTGCCAGTACCGTGGTGTGTGACACTGGTGGGTAATGGATCAGTGGGGCGCCCATTGATCCCTCAGCTTTGGCTGCCAAGAAGCTAATAGCAGAGTCACTCCCACCAGGCGTCCAGATTCACGGATGCTCTGTGAAACCTCAATGAGAGCTGGGCTGTTGGGGTTCAGATACAGCCCAGCCCCCATCTCCCCGCCTTCTTCTGCCAAAAATGGAGCAACCCTCTTGGCCCCCCTGCCCAGGGGCACCTGCTTCCTGTCCAGCTGTGGGCACCCAGCTCCCAGCCATGGCAGACTGGTATCTAGGAAACCCTGCTGCCACATTTTCTCTTTTTTCTTTTCACTAGCTCAGCGCAGGTGTGGGCAATCGCACTGTGGTCATGTGATCAGTGTGATCTGTGGCAAATGGGAGCTGTGATTGCTGAGATCTGTCACCAAGCCGGTAAATACAGAGGGGGAGGCTTCCCAAGAGCTAACCTTGGCAGACCAGATCAGGCCCACGAACCCATATTTACCCGCCTCTGGGCCCACAATACAGAGGATGAACAAACACAGCAGGAGTCTTGGTGTAGGGAGATTTCATTCCTTAGTCCACTTTTTTCTCACACTTCGGTGGTAAACGTGTTCACGCATCGATTGCATTTTGGCCTGGGAGGCCCATGGGTAGTTCCGTAGGCTGAAACTGTAAAAATGGCCTTTTCCTTTTGGGTGCTCCTGTTCTCTCGTGGTGGCACTGGTGATGCAACATCTGACTATCTCATCTAATTCTGTATC